GATTCTGCAGACTGTTGAGGGTTCAGCCTCCTGATGAGTCGGTGAAACTCCGACGAAACAGTTTGTCACAGCCCCTCGTTTGTTGTCCTCTTCTCTCTCTCTGCCTACGGTTTTACCGGGCAGTTCTGTTTGTGACGATATATAAATATGTGAGTTTTGTTCTATGATCTTTGTTTATTTATATATATAGGGTTATCATCATTTGGGTTCGGTCGAACTTCCGACTCAAACCTGTTGAACGTTTGGCCTCCCTTGGGGATGTGTTCGGTCGTTCGGGCTGAACGTGAGCCTAAACGTTTTTATTTGTTTTTAAATTAAAAAATTATAAAAACTTAAAAAAAACTATATGTTATGCAGAAATATAAAACAAACAACATTTGCTTCAATGTTACATCCAAATTCCTTACGAAATGTGAAATAAAAATAAAATACAAAAAAGAAATAATAATAAACAAATATAAAAAATTAGTGAATGGGCGAGCACGTTTTCAACATCACAATTTTTGGCGATTTTTCATTTTTTGGGGGGTAGCCAAATGCCCTGGAAATTTACACATGTGTATTTCACATCATACAAAGCTCATAATTTTTTTTTTTTAAATAATCAAATATTTGAGGCACCAAAATAAAATAAAATCAAAAAGAGGAAAGTGAAAAAAAAATAAAAAATGAGTCATCAAGCACGTCTTGACACCACCATCTTGGTGATTTTCCATTTTGTTTTGGCTTGGCATAATACCTTGAAAATTTATATGTAGGTAGATCATGTCGTACAAAATTCATAAAAATAATTAAAAAAAAAAAAAAAAAAAAAGGATCCCGAAATAATTCTTGATGGGGTCCAAACCCAAAGGGGTTCAAGCACCGAACGGAGGTCACCGAGCCGACCTCCCTACGTACGGGCGTTCAGGTCCCGTTCGGGGTTCGAACCCGAAATGTTCGGCCCCTACCAAAACTTATTTCGGGGCCTAAAAATATATATATATATATATTTTTTTTTTTTTTTGCATTCTCTATGACGTGAGGTACATGCTTATATATTTTGACGTCATTTGGCTCAGCCAAATAAGAATTTAAAATCGCCAAAGATGGCGGTGTCAAAATTTGCTCGCCCACGTTGTTTTTCACTTTTTACTTTTCACTTTCACTTTAGTTTAGGGTCTTAACAATTTTATTATTTCTTGAAACTTTTTTATTGGGTTTTGTATTATGCGAGTTACACATCTGTAAACTTTCAAGGCATTTGGCTATGCAAAAAAAAAAAAAAAAAAATCGCCAAAGATGACGGTGTTGAAAATGTGCTCACGCACTCATTAAATTTAATTATCTTTTTATTTTGTTTTATTTTATTATTAGTATTTGTTCTCCGTATTTTATTTTTATTTCAAATTTGGTAAGGAATTTGGATGCAATGCTCAGGCAAATCTTGTTTAATATATGTTTCTTCATAACTTTTTTTACTTTTTTTTTTTTTTTTTTTTATCTGCGTTCGACCGTTCGCCCCAAGGGGTTCTATATGTTCGCGCATTCGGGCTCGGGCGTTCAGCCCTGCCCCGATATATATATACAGGGTTACCGGCGTTCGGGACGGGCCGAACGCCCGAACCCGAACGCCCGAACGTACGGGACCCCTTCGGAAGGCGTTCGACCGTTCGGGCCGAATGCGGACAATAAAAAAAACAAAAAAACAAAAAATAAAAAAAGTTTTTAAAAACTTCTCAAAAAAACAATGTTACGAAGAAAAATAAACTTAACAACATTTGCCTGGGCACTACATCCAAATTCGTTACCAAATTTTAATTAAAAATTAAATACAGAAAATAAACACTATAATAAAAATAAGAAAAAATAAAAAAAGAATTAAAATGAGTGAATGTGCCAGCACCTTTTCGACACAGCCATCTTTGCCGATTTTTAATTATTTTTTGGCATTGACAAATGCCCTAAAAATTTACAGATATGTAGTTTACATAATCAATAACTCATTAAAAAGTTTTCAAAAAATAATAAAATTGTTTAGGCCCCGAAATAAAATGAAAACAAAAAGCTTAAAGTGAAAAAAAAACAAAATAGTGAGTAGGCGAGCACGTTTTGACACCCCCATCTTTGACGATTTTTAATGTTTTGTTAGCTTAGCAGAATGGCTTCAAAATTGATTGGTGTGTAGGATAATCGAACAGGGTTTGTCGAAGTCTACTGTTCTGTTGTTAGTTTCGCTACTGTAGGATGGACTTGAGTAGGGTGCTTGATAAGACCGCTACAAAATAGAATAGGTTTGTAGGGGTCCGCTCTCGAACTGTGGACGTTTTGTTTGTTTGGTATTTTTTGGAATTACAGACATTAAGACCTTTTATTTTTTTGACGGATTCGATCAATTGAACTCTGGAGAATGGTACTGGCCTTGGTACCATCGGCCTTGGTCGATGGACCTTGGTGCCGATTGCTTTTTTGGGGGACCTACTGGTCCAGGATACTTTCGGTAAGGACATATATTGATCACGTACGAGTTCTTCGGCCTGAAAAATCAGGACTAACGCTACCGTTAGTCGCTAACACTCCGGAATGTTAGCGGCAAACAGTACGGAAGTGGGTTTGCGGGTAAGATGGTTTCTGATTGAGGGACACGTAGGTGGATACCCCCTGAGGATGGCAACGTGGCGGTTGCCGAAACGCGGCTTCAGGGACGTCATTCCTGAACCTTGAACTTGCTTTCCTATTCTATGATGGTCAATTGGTAAGGATTTGTACGTATTGACGTACGTGTTTTTCGGGACACAAACTTGTCTACTTTTGTGATCATAACAACTCAAGACAGCATACGTGAACTATCTTGGAGGCAAACAGCTGAGATCAGTGAGCGTGCATCTATCTGCCTACACTTTGTTTTACTTTTGGAGGTGACGTGTCAGCTATCCGAGACACCATGGGCGACCGAGACTGGAGGAGTTTTCGCTCGAGGTACGATGGACACGGAGATGACAGAGATCGAAGAGACGAAGAACGTGATCGAAGAAGTGACGACCGCAGCAGGGCTGGCGACGAGCGTGATAGGAGTGTTGACAGAGGAGAGGATCGATACCGACCGGTACGGTGCACCGCAGTTAAGTGTTTCTCATGCGGAGAATACGGGCACTACGTGAATTAATGCAAGAATCGCGGTGCTTCTTATGATCGACCGTCGACATCGTCGGACACAAGGAGAGGACGCTCTACGTCCCCAACAAGATTTAAGAAGGAATTTTGTCGAAGGTCGCAGTCACAGGGACCGGATCTACAGGGCAAGATCGAAGAATTGGGGAAGACCCTGGCGTGAGTATCAGAGTTCGTGCAAGCGGAGATGCAGAAGAAGGCTGAGGAGGAAAGACGTAAGCAAGAGGAGGACGAAGCAAGGGTACGTGCGGAGGAGGAGAAGATGAAAAGGGAGCGAAAGGCTAAGAAAAAAGCGGAGAAGGCTCGAAAGGAGGAATTGCGTTTGGCGGAGATAGACAAAAACGTGGAAGTACAGGTGGCGATAAAAACCGGCGCATTCTTCGATAGCATCGAGGCGAATATCGAGAAGGTGATTAAAATGGGAATTGAAGCGAAGGGTAAGAAGCCCTTGGTGTTTGAACCAGAGCCTATCGTGAGTTCGGACCAAGAAAGTAGCGAGAGTGCTACGGAGGAGATACGGGTAAGAACGGGTGTTTTGTCCATCAAGGAGAAGCGTAAGAGGGGGCCCAAACCAGTCCTTGAGGACAGCCCCCCAATGCTTACCCCAACGAAGCGTACGGCGAAGATGAAGAGCCCGGCTCAACCGGGAACGATCGCGAAGCTACGTTACCGAAATCAAGTCATGGAGGAGATTCGTAGCTTGGACGCCCAAGAATTGCAGGCTATGTGACGAAGCGAAGGGATAGCCTACAACGACAAAATCGACGTTATCTTCGACATCGCAAGTCATCGCGTACGCAAGCAGTTTGGAGAACTGGAACCGATTGACTTGGCCGAGACAATTGGCCAGACCGAGGACGAGAGCACCACCGTTGTTGACGAAGATGAAGGAACTCAGTGAGAACATTTCGCAACTGAAGTTGTTTGGCGCTTAACACGTTTTGTGACTAGTTGGCGATGCAGAGAGGGTAAGGCTGACCGACAAGCCGATGACCTACTTAGGCTCTATGTTTTGCTTTTGTCTCTACGAGGAGAGATCAAATGGGCCAACAAGCTTGTTGACTCATGGATTAGACTCTACGACTTACATGGGATTGATTTTCTGAATTTGAAGAATTGCGTTTATATTGCCATCTCACCGTATTGTAAGTTGCAATATGTTGGGAAGACTAGTAGGGACGTTGACGTGAGATGGAGAGAACACTTGTACGCTTGCGTGAATAGAACGCAAACACATTTTTACCGATGGCTGAGTAATTTTGGCATTGGAAATTACGTCTTAATCCCTGTTGATTCCATGTTAGGAGATGATCTGCCCAAGTTAGAGGATGTGTACATCAAGAGATGGTCACCTTTTCTGAATACCACAGGGTCGCGGAAGTCGAGTCGTTTTGGGAAGCGAAAGTGTAAGGGAAAAAGCGAGAGGCGGATGGATAACAAGGAGGCACAGGGGGAATGTCGGAGCATTAAGCCGATCAAGTTCAGAACTAGTGATGATGACACATGGAAGCTGGACTTGCTGAGTATTTTAAGCAAGCATGAGGAAGGCGGTGCAAAAGAATTCACAATTACTTCTGGAGGAGGAAACACCTGGCAGACAAGTTGGAAGAAAATTAGGAAATGCTTCGGTGATTCGTCGGTAAATGTGTCTGGTAATCTGATTAGTTTGAAGGACTGCAAGAAACGATTAGAAGATAGAGAAGATGTCCATATTCAATATCTACGGCGGTGGAAACCGAAGGGAGGCTTCCTCAAGCAGGTCCTAATTGGGATACTGAGGAACGCTGGTAAGTTGTCTGAGATATATGGATGGGGCTTGCGTTCTCTTATCCGTCTCTATAATGTAATTAAGGATTTTCGAAAGAAGTCGACCCGTAAGTATTTGAGGCGTCTAACATCACGTGTTGCGCGTGAGAAATTCGGACTGAGTATGTCCGCTGACCTCATCATTCGAGTGAGATTTGACGATCGGATTAGACTGGCTGAACTGCGTAAAGTGATTAAAGACTGCGGGATGGCGTGTGATATCCCTAACTGTTTCAAAAAGCATGCAAGGAAGAAGATTAAGATTGTCTGGGTTAAAAACCAGTCAATCGGACAAATTTTTCATAATCATAGAGCTTTTGCAGCTCGTGAAACGACTACCTGTTGTTGTGCAGGGTTGCCTTACCTCAGACAGGGTGGGCATGTGTGCTTTAGACTCGGCGAAGGGGAACCTCACCACAGACTGTTGTCTAACTCCAAAGACATACCACGAGCCGTGTTGTCTGATCGTGTGAATATACTGATGAAGGAGGTGCAGGAAGGATTTGCCAGCTGGTACAATCTGAAAAGCGATGTTTCGAAGATCCCGATAACAAAATTAGAAGCATGCTTTGTACAGACAGTAGTATGAGGAGATCATTTGTCCGTGTCGGAGGCCGAGAGAGTGAAGAAGGAACTTGAAGGGTTAGTGTTGACTCCGTTAGATCGGAACCCCGGGGAAACTCCGGTTATGTACCCTTACATTTACCATCGGGCGATGATGCAAACTTTCGTGTCGAATTCGTAGGGAAATTTTTCAAAGTTTTTAGTCTTGCTACCCGGATAATTTGTGTTTGAAACGCACTGACGATGGTACCGAGTCTCTGCAGTTTTTGGGTTGCGACATCAGGACAAGACAGATTAGCCTGAACCTGGGGAGTGTCCAACTTTCAAAGAATGAGGAGACTATTTGGAAGGAAGAGAGATTGGTTTTTCATAACGGACAATCATATGTTTCGTGGGGGAGTAAGCAGCAAAAGAACGCGATTATAGGAAGTTATCTCCACAGGATAGACCTGAATATGACTATTCGATCAGAGATTCCGCGAAGAGTTTTGACAGTAAAAAGAGAGCTACGTTTGAAAGGCTTTCCCCCGGAGCCCTTTGGCAGGGTCCTCAAGAGATTTGCCTTGAGAAAAGACGATGTCTGGAAGCAAACAGTGAAGTTCCTGGGATGTGAGTAAGTTTTTTATGATTGATAGGTGGGTTATTTTCTGCACGGATGGGTTTCTTGCTCTACTAGTGTTACTAGGTAAGACATAGCCTTTTATAATACATTAGTAATGTTTTTCCCGTCTACTGTCTGAACTCCGGTTTGTTGTTGCACGGTTAATCGGACAGGGTTTTGTCGAGTTTATCAGCTGAAGTTTGTTTTCGTTACTGCAAGAGTATTTGAGTGGGATTTTCGACAATATGGACTTTTGAGCTGAGGAGGTTTTCACTGATTTCTTGGGGTAACTCGACAATCGTGCCTAGGTTATCAGTCGGTAGACTGTGTTTGTTTGTTTGAGTTGGATAATCGAACAGGGTTTGTCGAAGTCTGCTGTTCTGTTCTTAGTTTCCCTACTGTAGGATGGACTTGAGTAGGGTGCTTGATAAGACCGCTACAAAATAGAATAGGTTTGTAGGGGTCCGCTCTCGAACTTCGGACGTTTCGTTTGTTTGGTATTTTTTGGAATTATAGACAGCAAGACCTTTTATTTTTTTAACGGATTCGATCAATTGAACTCTGGAGAATGGTACTGGCATTGGTACCATCGGCCTTGGTCGATGGACCTTGGTGCCGATTGCTTTTTTAGGGAACCTACTGGTCCACGATACTTTCGGTAAGGACATATATTGAGCACGTACGAGTTCTTCGACCTGAAAAATCAGGACTAACGCTACCGTTAGTCGCTGACACTCCGGAATGTTAGCGGCAAACGGTACGGAAGTGGGTTTGAGGGTAAGATGGTTTCTGATTGAGGGACACGTAGGTGGGTACCCCGTGAGGATGGCAACGTGGTGGTTGCCGAAACGCGGCGTCGGGGACGCCATTCCTGGACCTTGAACTTGCTTTCCTATTCTATGGTGGTCAATTGGTAAAGATTTGTACGTATTGACGTACGTGTTTTTCAGAAAACGGACTTGTCTACTTTTATGATCATAACAACTACATCATAGAGAACTCACAAAAAAACATTCAGAAAAAAAAAAAATTATTTTCAGGCCATGAAATGTTTTTTGGCGGGGGCCTAACCTGGAGGTGTTCGGCCCCCGAACGTTCGGTCAGGTAACCCTATATATATATATTTCTCATATGTTATATTTTTTTAATTATCACTATGTTCCGCGTTAAACTGATTATTTTTTTAATATTGAGACAAATAAAAACAGTACGTTTACTACGTAATAGTACGTATGTTATTAGACGAAGTTCCAATAATTACTTGAAGTATCATCAGTCGATCAATTCATCCATGTAGATAAGTAAAATCATGACTGATGAGTAAAAATTTAAAATTTAAGTGACAATCACACAGGTAACTAATGGAAATTTACACCAAGAGCAAGTAAAATATAGTTGACAATTCATATTTGAAGTACAAAGATACAAGTATTTTGTCCACTACGCCGCATTAATAACTGGTATGGCGAGATCCTTTAAGGTTTGAACTTTTTTCTTCCTAAGTCCAATATATATGCTCATGCATGAAAGAGGAGTAATCAGACATGCATGAACATATTTAACGAAGTCTTGAGGCTAAGTATCCATACTCGATATAAAAAAAGATAAAAAATAACTTTCCATAGTGTTATATTGTTCACTGTCTCATTCGCAGTACCCTATAGACCATACTTGTAAGTGGGCGCCGTCCGGGCGGTTCCGCACGTGCGGCGGACCACCGGACTAGACACGCGCGGCGCACGAATTTGCGTCCGACGACCAGTTACGCCCCACCAAAAAAAAAAAAAAAAAAAAAAAAAAACCGGCCACGTCCGATCTGGTCCAGGTCCATCCGGTCCGGGGGGAGGGTGCCGAACGTGGCAAAGTGGACCGGACCGGACGCTCGTCCAGTCCGTCTACTTGCAAGTATACTATAGACTAAGACATAAAAGTCATGACAAAAACATGTATGCCTTGAAGTAATACATAGTTCGAGTCCACAACAAAATGTTTTATATAATTTAAAAATCATTATATCGTAAAATTACATTCTAAGTTTTAAATTTTCATTCCAACTTTTAAAATTTTATTTAATTTTAACATTTTTCGTTTTACTTAAAAACTTTCATTCCAAGAATAGGGTATTCTTTTTTATTTGAACTGCGTGCTAGAGATGAAGTGCAAGGCTGAATGATTTCATAAAATATTTTAATTGGACTGTCATTCTAGGTAAGGATTTTCAGTCATAAATAGGTTAATCTAATTTAAATTAGAAGATATTTGTTGTAGTATAATAAAAATTTAATTAAAATATTTTATAAATTCGTCCAGACTTTCATTCCATTTTTAACAAAATGATGAAGTTGGAAAGGAAAACTCATATTTATACAAGAATTTATCAAATAAAACTATAAATTTTATAATTAAACGAACACAAGAATGATAATTTATAAATATGAAGGATTTTTTTTTTATAGAATGTTTTTTCAAATTTCATTCCTCATGGGAACTTTTTTGTTGCATGCAAATCACAAATATATTGCGTAAGTATGCACCTTTGAAAGTACCATCGACATGTTGCTTATAATTGTAATAATAATCTACCAATGCCTACCGAAAATAATGTAAGTCTTAGGTAACTTCTGATTTTTCCAACGCGTTTTGGTAGGTACCTAAATTGACCACCTTAAGGGTTTATGCAGAAAAACGTTAACAGATGTCTAAATTTTTACACAATTTCTCATGTCATTTACGGCAAAGCCTAAGGGTCATTTTGACCAAACTTGCCACTAATTTATAGAGTGGAAATCATACTAAATTTTTATATTAAAATTTTTATTAAAAAAAAAAACATATAAAAC